TGTAGAGAGAATCAAACAATAAGAAGAATCTAGACACTCCTCAGGGGAAAAAAATGGAAATTGATAAAATTAACCTTGATTTTCATTTGTTAGCTTGATAAACATTTAGCGGGAATAATATTAAATATTCTGCAATTATTTCAGTGTGGACCAAGAATTGTTTTAAGTTGTTACATATGTTTTTCATTAGATGTCTTCAAAAGCTTTCAAATGTAAACATGGACTTAATATGTTTTAGCAGACTAAGAAATTTTGGAAGTTTTACATGGGAAATTTAATCCAAGGAAATTATTTCAGTAATAATAACCAAAATTTACTGAGCCCTATTATGTCCTTTGTGCCTTCTACGTCCTATCTCTAATCCTCCCAAAATGGAAGTAAGATAAGATTAATACATAAAATTGGATTCAGAGGGTTTTACTCACTTGTTCAAGGTCACACATGTGGAAAGTGGCAGAATGGGATTGTGAACCCAAGTTTCAGAGGCTCCAAAATTCACTGCTGTGCCTTCCCTTCGCTCTGAAGGAAGATCACAGAAAAGGGGCCCATGACCAAACCTCGGCAGTCCTAGAGGGCTTTCAGGACGACGTGATGTTTGAACAGAGTTCCAGAAAAATGAATAGGAATCTTGAAGTGGCGGGGGGGATGATATGAAAAGAACAGGAAACAGGCAAGCTTGCAGGGAACAGCAAGTAAAGGATTGAGGCAGTTTATGACTTACAAAGTACGTTCATGAGCAAGTTCCCATTCTATCTTTAGGAAACAATGTTCATCTTTCCCATCTAATAGATAAAAACAAGTCATATTGGAGGTGCAATGACTTGTTCCAGGACACAGAAAAAGGAAATTGCAGCACTAGAGTTCAAAGTCCGCTCTGGTGACGCCAGATCCTGGGCTCATGCTCTAGTGCTGTGGCAGCTACAAAGAAAAAATTTCACTACATAGTTTCCATTATAACTTCATTTCCGATTTTATCATATCATCCCTACCCTTATTTTCTTTCTGTGTCAGTTACTTCACGCACTTCTTTTTCATTTTATCCTCATGTCACACATATATTTGTAGGCTTGCTCAAACTAACTTTCAATGAACCAGGGCATAAATTGATAAAAACTTCAATGCCCACAAAAAAGAAATTGTGTCAATGTTTTATATTCCCAACTATTTCTGGGCTTTAGGAAACCACACCTTTATCCAACTGTGATGTTAAGGGATATATAGTCTTGCATATTGTTAACTTCATCGAACACTCCAACAGAAATATGTTTCTGTGTTGCTACAGTCTTCTTGATGATTTTCCATGACTGTATTTTTTTCTGTGAAGGAGACATGGCCATTCCCATACCACTGGACATTCAGACTGGTTCTTCTGGTTTTCCAAGGCTAGTGGATTGTGAGGGTCCACCCCAAGCCTTCCCACTGCAGTCCCTTTCACTGCCTTCACATCTTGTCCATCCCATTCTAGGGTTATGGGTGTTGGTACATGTCAATTTGGGACCTCATTCAGGGTTCCTTACTCAGTCAATTGCATGTCTTTTCCATTTTTACCATCAGGCTCTAATCTGTAAGTTCCCTGGGTCTTTGTTACATAAATCCCCTCAAATCCTGTTTTGGCAAAAGGTATGGTATAAATAAAGAGAGTGAATACACTTCTGGGGAGGATAAGGATTCTGTTTACAGATGACACAGCACTACTGTGCAAAACTAGTGATTTCCTGCTTATGACAATTGCATGTGTTAAGCTCTTAGGCGCTGGTATAAACAATAGTTGTATAGTTTCAACCCAAGGCCTTGGAACAAAGCTCTCTTTTTCTTTTATCTAACCACCCAGAGAGGTCATGGATTCAGGAAAAATAGCTCTGAGGGAGGCACTCTAGGGAAGTGGTTATAAGCACATAGCAGAATGAGCTAGATGGATATGGATTTGACTCCCAACCTTGCTTTTCATGGCTGTGAGCCTCTGGACAAGTTGTTTCTCTTCTATGAGCCATAGTTTTTACATCCTTACCTTCTTTAGAGGGTTGTTTAGGGATTAAATAAGACCCAGTATATAGTGAGCATTCAGTAAACATTATCATTGGGATAGTTTCTTTGAAATAACAATTTCAAAGCTTTGAATACAAGATGATGGTGGACCTTATATGGTCATTAGGCACAAAACAATGAAAACAACTGGAGTGATCAGAGTTTCTACTGAGGCGTTGTTTTTCACTTTTTCTCAGTGTGATTTCAGAATCAGGAAGAAAATCAGGCCTCCAACTGTGGATACGGCCTGCAGCTATGGGCTTAAATGAATGAATGACTGGAGTGTATTCTTGGGTAAGTAATTTAATTTCCCTGTATCTTACTATCTCTTCTGTAGAATATTGATTCATGGAAAACTAGTGGTTTTGGAAAACCCTCTCCATGGAGACTGGATTTCCAGCCCTGCTTATGTTGTCCTATGAACATGAATTGCCGGCAGCATAATGACTCAAATCCCACATCCTGCTTTTGGTGGCATTTACCACTGACGAGAGGTTCATGTGTTCCTGTCATGAAGGCCTGCGGAAGAGCCATTTTCATTGGGGTCTGATTTGAAGTGAGCTGGCACATTGGCAAGCCATAATGCTGGTGTGGTCTGCTTGAGAGAAGACCATTTGCCCACTAATTTGCTGACTGGCCTGAAAAATCAGAGGAATTGATGCACTCAGAGACCCCAGGGACTCCTTTGCCTGCAAGTTGGCTTTGGCAGGAATGGTTACTGCTCCCTGGTTGCATGATTCATGCTTGTCCCATCAAAAAAGCATATACTAAAGGAGAACAGCAATCAATTAAGAAAGAAAATATAAATTACTACCAAGGGGAAACATTCACTCTCCTTACCTCTAAGGATTTGGAAATAATGGTATTTATTCCAAAGCAAGGAGAGTGGAAAATACTTAACAGTAGACTGAGTTGCTTTAAGAATTAACATTCTGGGTATAAAGTGCAATACAAGCCACACCACACACACACACACACACACACACACACACACACACACACACACACAATGCCTGACACACAACAGACTTAGCAAATTATCTTGAACTGAGTGAATAAAAAAGAGAAGGAAGAAATTAGCAAAAAGCTGGGACTTAGGGAACAGCATGTGATTCATAGTTTGAACGACCCTAGACAAGTCTCTTAACCTAAGCCTCAGTTTCTCATCTGAAAAGCAATGTCCACATCACTGGTTTGCCTGTGAGAAATTGAATAATGCGGTTAGAGGGTTATGTGGTTAAAAGCACCTGACATTCATAAGACCTGGATCGTAGATCAAGCTCAATTCCACACAATACGATTCACTCAAATACTTACTGAGCACTTACTATTTTCCTGGCATTGTATTCCGGGTGCTGGAATTGGATAAAAGATTAATAAGACAGCTAGGTTTGTCCCTTGTATAGGGCAACTGGGATGGAGACAGACTAAGATTCTGAATCATAGCACTCATTTTATTTTAGCTACATTCAAGAGGTCCCCCAAACACCCTGAATGAGTTGTCCCAGTCTTTGCCCTCAACTCATAGTCTATTGGGGGAGACAAATTTGTAAACCCCAAATTCCAAAGCAGCATGCTAAATGCAGCAATGGTGGTATTAAAAGGTGTGTGGAGGGAATAAGGAAGGACTGATGAACTGTAGAGGGGGAGTTGGGTAAAGAGTCCTGAAGGGGATGCTGTCTGGCTGAATTATGGGAAATAAACAGGAGTTCCTACAGAGTGAAAAAGCCGAGGAAGGGCATTTCAGATAGCAGGAAGCATCACATGCAAAGCCAAATAAACAGGAAGTTGCTAATTCCAGGTTCTGCCATTAACTGGCTTTATTTAACCTTTAAGGAATTTCCTCAAGTCCCTCTGGGCTTCCAGTTTTTTCTCATATTAGAAAACGAAGGTTGGGGGGGATGGGAGGCGTGGAAAGAGGCAACATAGATTTTCTGTAAGGGGCTTTCTAACTGGTCCCTCCCTGCTGCAGCAGAGAGAAAAGGGGTAGCTTTGGGAATATCAAATGTTATTTTTCGAGTATGAGCCAGAGGCCCCACCTTTTGTGACAAAAGATGACAGGCTGCAGTCATTCAGAAATGTTTGCATAATCCACCCAATTCATCAGTATTTACGGCATTGACTGAGCAGGCTATTAAGGAGGCCACCAACCAGCAGAGAGAGAGACTGGTAATAAGTACACGAGTATCATGGAAACCGTATTGATCTACACATGGCGGGTGCATGGAGGCAGTAAAATAGAAGCACCTAGAGCATGTCCGTCACGTGCAGGATGACAGGATTTAGCTCCTAGCAAAAGGGAACTTCCTGGTTCCTCACCCTGTTTCATCATCTCCAAGAGGCCGCCAGCATGTTCCGCCGCCAGTTCTCCCTGGGCAGGGATCCAGGCATCCTCTCTTCACCTGCAACCTTTTGCAGGCCTGTGTAAGGGGCTCCGTGCAAGCCGAGCGGATGCGGGTCCCAGGACTGACCAGAGGGTCACGCCCAAGCACCCGCTGCAGGGCCTCCAGCCTAGCGAGCAGGGCGAGCAGGGCGAGCAGGGCTGGCTTGGAAGGCGGGCTGTCCAGTGCCTCCAGGGGTTGGGCTCCCGGCCGGCTGGGCGGGACTCAGGCTGCCAGTATAAGGCAGGGGCGCCACTGTCCCAGCCGGAGTGCTGAAGCTGGCGCCCCACCCGGGACCGGGAGGCAGCCGGCACTGAACTTGAAATTCATGACCCAGAGTGACTGGAGAAGGAAGGAAAGGTCTGATTTCGATTTGTTCGTTTATTTACTACCGATGAATGGAAGGCGGGCAGGTCTGTGGGTGCGGGAGAGCTCGGCGTGGATTGGCCAGGGATCGTAGGCCCGTTGGTACCCTCGGAGGGCCCCGGGGAGCGGTCCAGCCACTTCCCGAGGGGCCCCAGGTGCCCACACTCGCCAACTTCTCTCCCCCGCAGGAGCACTTCTTGCCACTGCTCCCAGCCCTAGCCTCGGAGGATGCGGCTCCTCGGGAAACTGCGCGCCTCCGCTCCGGAGCCCGCTTTCACCAACGTGCTCACCCCGGCCCGCATCCCCGAGTTCTGCATCCCGCCGCGGCTGCCCGCGCCCTGCGTACCCGAATCTCCGCCTCCGGCCGCGGCTCTGCCCCGGCGCTGCGCCGCCGAGCCGGACCTGTGGCCCCGAGGAGCCGACGACGCCGCCGGGCACACGGACTGGGACCCGCGCTCGCAGGCCGCGCTCTCGCTGCCGCACCTGCCGCGCGCGCGCACCGCCTACGGCTTCTGCGCGCTGCTCGAGAGCCCGCACACTCGCCGCAAGGAGTCACTCTTCCTCGGGGGCCCCGGGGCCGCCCCGCTCCTGCCCCCGGGCGCAGCCCCCGCCCCCGCCCCCGCGCTCCCCGCGGGCCCCCGCCCGATCCCGGACGCGCCCGCCCCTCCGCCCGGCGCCCACCGCCTCGTGCGCGCCCCCGAAGGACTACTGAGCCGCGCGCTGCGGGCCCGCAGGAGCCGCGGCCTGGCGCGCGCCCGCTGCGCGTCCAGCGGGGACGAGGACGAGGAGCGCGGCGCCGGCTCGCGGCCCCCGGCCCGGGCCCCTTCCGCGTCCCCGCCGCCGCCGCCTGGCTCCGACCCGGGGCCCGAGTGCCTGGAGGCCGAGGGCACCGTGGCCCTGGGCGGCGCCGGGGGCGCCCTGCGCCTGGCCGCCCAGTACAGTCGGGCCAGCGGGCGGCTCCGCGTCCGGCTGCTGGGCGCCCAGGGCCTGGCCGCGGGAACCGCCGAGCCCCGCGCCGTCGGCTGCCGCGTCAGCTTCGTCCTGCGGCCGCCGGGCAAGACGCGGCCGCAGCGCAGCGCCGTGGTGCGGCCGAGCCGCAAGGCCGCCTTCGACCAGGACGTGTGCCTGGACGGGCTCTCGGAGGAGAAGCGGGGCCGCGGCCGGGAGCGGGGCCGCCTGCTGGGCCAGGGCGAGCTGCTGCTGGGCTCCCTGCTGCTCCCCTGAGGGCCCCGGGCCTCGGGCCGTCTGTCCCCTCGGGGCGCTCTCCGCCCGCTGGGAACTCGGACACGGACAGCCGTTCCGTACAGAATAAATGCTATTTATTCATTTTTCTATTTATGATCTTGCTTTATTGAAAGTTTAGTTTTTAGATGTCTGTTTTCGCCCTTACTGGTAGTGAAGGAAAAAAATGAAGTTCTCTATTCCCAACATCCAATCCTTTTTTCCAGACCATTTTTTTACATTCAAAGGCAAAAAGGGTTGGCTTGTGTATGGAAGGGAGAAAAAGGAACTACACCCAATCTGCCTTGATTATCCTCCCTGCTTTACGTCAACGCTAAAGGCTTATTATTTTTTAAGTTATTCCTTCAGAATCCTGGCCAATGCTAAGATTCGCATATGCAACTTTACATATTTGATGTGGCATAGGTTCATATCCTCATTCATGCACACACATCAGAGCCGGACATTCTGTAATAAGGATATCTTGGTGGGAAAAGAATTTCTTTCTCATTATGAAAACAGGATTCTTTTCAAAGTGAGGTCTTAAAAAAAAATTATAAGGAAAAGTAAAACAAAGGGAGTGAAGGATCTTTCAAAGGATGGTCATGTAGGGAATAGATAATCCTGGCATCCCCTTCTTCATTCTCCAGAAGGAGCCCTGGGAAATCTTGCTGTTTCAGAAGACAAATCTTCCTGCCTCTGTAAACATATTGATATTTTTGTGGCATTATTTCCACCTAGCTATGTATTTAAGTTACATAGTAATTAATGCCTCTGTAATAGGATTTCCTAGATGAATGGAAAGGGAAACTGTCAACTTTTTGAACACTGGATTTTAAGAGAGGGTTTATTAATCCAATTTATTTTCATCTGTTGATTCAACAAACAGACCTGAGTCCACTGGAAACTGATCGTATCCAAGAAGGTTTGCCCTTGAGGGTAGGCATCTATGGTGTGGTGGAAAGCACAATGAGGGGGTGGGGGGAGACTTAGAGTCCAGTCTTTTTTCTGCCACTTGTCTGAACTAGGGAAGGTCAGTTCATGTCCCTGAACCTCATTTCCTACATCAGTGAAATGGGGGCTGTTCATACCTACTTCACAGGGTTTTGTAAAAATATGGTTTAATATCCAAATAACCCTTAAATACACGTGAAATATGATAGCTTACCTGAAAAGACTTGAACTGTACTGGTGAATAGGTGCTCCATAATGTTCCAGAAAATGAACTCCTTCACTTCTCCTTTCTTTCCAGTTGTTTCTCCCTGGTCCTGGAGTGGAGGCTAGCAGAATGGATGGCTACCTGAGACCGAGGATTTAGGGGAGCCAGGAGTGGGAATATAGAATCCTTCAGGATTCCTGTGGCAAATAAGCAATAGTTTGCACTCATTCTGCATTAAAAACCCCTCAGCGCTGTTACCGAAATGAGGTTTGAGGTACAAACTTGGTCAGAATAAGTCAATAAAAATCCTGGATTTCAAACGTAATTTCCAAGTGGAAAAATTATCCCTTAGAAATCATCTAATCAAATTACTTCTGAAATTGAGAAAATACCACAGAGGTGACTTGCCTGAAGTCGAATAGCTAGGGACTGGCTAAGCTCAGATAAGAACCAACTTGTCCTGACTTCTCCAGAGGACTGACGTTCCCTTTGGTCCCTCATTTAATAATGATTTGTTGAGCCCTTTCTCTGTGACAGGCACAATACCAAGGCCAGGCGACGCAGCTATGAAAAAGACAAGATTCCTGATCTCACAGGACTTGGTTTTAGTGGGGGTAGCCAAACAATAGCTAAGTTTGGTTATTACAGATTGTGGTGACTGTCATGAAGACAATAAACTAGGGAGGGTGAGAGAGAAGTGGCATGTGGGATGCTCTCAGAGATAGAGCGGTCAGGGAAGGTCTCCCTAAGACCTGAGGAAGGAATCATACACAAGAGAAACTTAATCTAGACAAACAGCCACTTACTGTGTCCAAATGACCCCTTAATACATCAAGCCAGAATTCTTGATTTTCCCCTCCCACATCTCTTCTTCCTCTAGTCTTCCTTATTTCAGTAAATGACAACATCATTCTTCCTTCTATGCAAGCCAGGAACCTGGAATCATCCTTACCTTCTCTCTCTCACATTCCAGTTTTCTTAGGTGCAAATGTCTCCTCCTTAGAGTATCCTCCCCTGCCCATCCTATCTTAAAAGACATCACTGTTGCTATTGCTTCATTCTTCGTAGCACTTATCACTACCCGACATTATATTATACCCTTATTTTGTTGTTGTTTGTTTCCTGCTCTCCCACCAGAAAGTATGCTTTATAAAGTAGGAACTCTGTTGATTCATTGCTTTATTTCCAGTGCCTAGAGCAGTGTCTGGCATCTGGTAGACTCTCAATAAAATTGATTGAGGGTTGAACAAATATAGAAAGAGATAGAATAAATAAGAGTAGAGGACCCAGGACCAAGCCTTGGAACAAATCAACATTTAGAAATTCAATACAAGAGGAACGTCAGTGTAGGACAAAGAGAAGCGGCAGCCAATGAGACAGGGCAAAGACCAGGGGAGTGTGGAGTCTTAGAAGCCAAAGAAGTATTTAGAAGAAGGAGATGTCCACCCCATTGAAATCCTGCAGTCGTCATAACAGGAGCTAGACCAGAAGGGGTTAACATGTGAATGGGAGGTGAGAAAGTATACACGGGAAGTTTTAGAAAAGGGGGAGCAGAGAAGGGGCCTAGAGCTGGAAGAAAATCAGAGCTTTCCAGAATCAAAGATTTATTTTGTTTTAATATGAACGAATCTAACGCATGTTGGGAATATCCAAAATAGAGGGAGATGTTGCTAGTGAAGCGAAAGAAAACCAGGAGTAACTATAGGAGGAGAGTCTTTGGAAAAGTAAGAGAGGATCCAGAACATATGTGGGTAGAAGCAGTGATCAAGAACTCATGTTCCTGATCCATATCTTATTCCATGTCTCTACTCTGCCATCCACAGCATCATTCCATCCCGAGGCAGGTCACACTTGCAGTCTTAGCTTGTTGGCCAGAACAGCTGGGAGTACCCCATGATTTCTAATTAGACTCCAGGCTGGAGAAAAGGCATTGCTCCTACAGGCACCCCTATACGACTGAGGAAGAATTTCCCTAGAAAGCCCCAGAAAACGCCTCTCTATATTTTATTGGCCTCAATCGGGTTGCAATCCCAATTATGAACCACTCCCTGCAAGGGGGAGAGTGGTTAGACTTAGGCACATAGGGTCTCTCTCTGTAGCAGAGTGTGAAGTCAGAATTGGCTGAGGCAGGTGCATCTTCCTGTTAAGAAGTAAGATGGGGAGGGGCACCTGGGTGGCTCAGCTGGTTAAGTGACTGCCTTCGGCTCAGGTCATGATCCTAGAGTCCCAGGATGGAGTCCCACATCGGGCTCCCTGCTCAGCGGGGAGTATGCTTCTCCCTCTGACCCTCCCCCCTCTCGTGCTCTCTCTCTCATTCTCTCTCTCTCAAATAAATAAATAAAATCTTAAAAAAAAAAAAAGTAAGAAGGGGAATCAGCGCTTGGGTGGTGCAGTCAGTTAAGCATCCGACTCTTGGTTTCTACTCCGGTCCTGATCTCAGGGTCATGGGATTGAGCCCTACTCAGCCCCCGTCCCAGATGCACCTGCCTCCGCCAATTCTGACTTCACACTCTGCTACAGAGAGAGACCCTATGTGCCTAAGTCTAACCACTCTCCCCCTTGCAGGGAGTGGTTCATAATTGGGATTGCAACCCGATTGAGGCCAATAAAATATAGAGAGGCGTTTTCTGGGGCTTTCTAGGGAAATTCTTCCTCAGTCGTATAGGGGTGCCTGTAGGAGCAATGCCATTTCTCCAGCCTGGAGTCTAATTAGAAATCATGGGGTACTCCCAGCTGTTCTGGCCAACAAGCTAAGACTGCAAGTGTGACCTGCCTCGGGATGGAATGATGCTGTGGATGGCAGAGTAGAGACATGGAATAATCGGGCCCCATGCTCAAGGCGGAGTCTGCTTAAGTTTCTTTCTCCCTCTCCCTCTGCCCCTTCCCCCACCTCAAAAAAATAAATAAATCTCTCTCTCTCTCTTTTTATTTTTAAGTAAGAAAGCGGTGCAGTACTAGAAAGAGTAGAAAGTCTGAGGCCACAAAAACCTGGCTTCAAATCTAGTCTCTGCTACTGGGTAGTTGTGTGATCTTGGGGCAAATGCTTAAACTTCTTTATGTCTTAGTTTCCTCCTTTCTAAAATATTAGGTGTGAAGATGGCAAGGGTTAAAAGAGATCATTTAGTTATAGCAAGATTCAGATTAACAGGGGGACACACTCTTCTTTTTAAATATAATTTGAATATCTCCTCTTTCATTCATGCAAATGAGTATAATTTTGCTGAATGGCTTTGTGCACATCTGTGGTTCCAATCTTAAGTCTTTACAAAGGGCAGTCTACTAGGAACATATCTGGGTGCCTGCACTAAATGATACAAACACAAAGAATTACAACCTTCCATTCCACTGGTTGTATATTTGAGACTCCATCTGCCATGGTCCAGAGAGAGGAACAACAGCTCAGCTGATGTGTGCCAAAATCCAAACATTACTACCAGGAGTTTTTCATCCTTTGTGAATAGCGAGGCCTTGATAAGATATCCGTATGTGACCAGACACCTGTATTTATCCTAACATGGAAAATCCACATTTTATTTTCTTTGGCAAAAAGAACAGGATTCATTTTCCAGGTTGGCAACAGTTCCTGATTTAAAAAAGAACCAGTCTCCTGTCTCTGTCACCAGGAGATGGTGCCTGATTTGTCTAAACCGTCCATGCAGCGCTCCAGAGTTTCATCTCTTTCTCCTCCTAGTCACCTAGACCAGAGCCACCATATCTTCCTCCTTTACTCCATTGGCTCTGCACTGCTCTCTTCACCATTATCTTTTTTTTTTAATTTTTGAATAATGTGAGAGTTATAGAACAGTTGCCAAAACAGTGCAAAGAATTCCCATATACCTTTTAA